GGGACAAAGCTGCATTTTTTTATTTGAAATTATTTGACTCTTTTGGTTCTTTGACTATGTCCCAGAGTTTACAGAAGTCCCCGCTTTTTCTGTAACACAGGTATTTGGCATGCCATGTTATATCTTACCTCCTTCACATTTTTTATTCTGCTTCCTCAGTACTTATGTCTATTTCCCAGAATACTTTTTCTTGATCCTAACTGCTTTCCTCATATACCTCTGAACTGTGATTCTTTGGGGATAAGGTGAAAGAGTCAACACAGAATTCCAGCATAAGGTGTACCATCAGTTTCGTGTTAAAGTTCTAGGGAAAAAAAAAATAAAAATCCCATATTCTCAATGGTGAGTACATAATAAATAGAGCAGTCTTTTTGAAAGATTTATGACCAGATATCAAATTTAGCCTGTCTTAGGAGCCCAAGAGGAGCATAACTGACTCACTTCTTCTGACAGATCATTTTAAATGTAACATCACAAAATTTTACTAACATTGATCTTCCACTCTTCTCTGGGCAGATGTTTCTCACGGCCTCCCCTGGTTTTATCTAAACTGCACTGTGTATATCTGCAAGCACTGAAATATTTTCCTTCAGCCTTTCCTGTAATTACAAGTGTATCAGACTGTATGTCGGATAACAGCATGGCAGAGTCTGTTGAGTTATTACATTGATGTTTATCTGTAACAGTCCACTGCATTAACTTTGTGGAAGTTCCATGGCTATACCACCAGAAAGTACAGTAACTGCAACTGGTTTTTAAAGTTTTCTAGGAGTGACCTAAGAAAATAACTGCCAGTGTAGAAAGCAACAGTGTAAACACACCTTTCTCCTCCTCCTCATTCACTTTTGAGTATGCCTCCTCTAAAATACACCCCGTATACTTGTTTTTTGGAAGTCTCACTTAAAAAACAAACAAACAAACCATAATCTTTAAAATTCTGAGAAAACCTTAGAGATGTCATACGGACATGAAACCAAAGATTGTCAAGATCCTAAATTCTCTGTGAAGAGCAGCCCAAGGGCCAACAGTTCAGTACAGCAGTTCAGACTTTTTGTTGTAATTGTGTGGATAGTTCGGCAGTGTATTCAGCATAGAAAATTGTACTGTCAAACTGATTCGGTAATTTTCATCAAAACTCTTTTACAAAATACAGGGGCACAAACTAAACGACCTCAAAAAAAAAAAAAAATAAATAAATAAAAAGAGGAAAAAAACCCTTAAAATAGTAGAAGTTTTTTATTCAGTAGGAATTGCATAGGTCTGATTCTTAGTTTCTCCGTATAAGGGACTTTTTTTGAGTCCATTCAGAGATTTAATAATGAAACTGAAAGAATGTCGTGGTTGCTGCAATTTATATGTATTTGGGTAACAACAGGCTGCAGAGAAGGAATTTCAGCCAGACTCATTTACTAGTCAAAATACAAATGGCAGATAGATCTAACTTCAGAAGCTTGATGGTATAATTTATAATTTATTGTTTATTTTTTATACACAAATGTCATGTAAAAAAACCACAGTGACGTTTTTATAAGTGACTTGGCTTTAGCTCTTCCACCTATGGAAGATTACTAATAAACATATTAGAGGTGAACTGCTCTGCATACTTTTATAAAACATGAATTTGCCAATGATGATGGTACTTTGAGTAGTATAGATTTCTAATCCTACGCTGCTTTCCACCATCATGAGAAGAAAACAAAAGGAGAAGTGGCTTATTTTGGGCTGAGTGGGAAGGCATCTACTGTGCCAAAGGGTGCACTGAAAAATGTAGAGGAAGGTGCAGGATTGAAGCACGTGGCTCGGAATTTGGTGCCTGGCATGGGCAGGTCATAGCAGCTACACCAGCTGTAAGGAGCTCTCCGGTGGGGCTCAGCCAGGTCACCAGTGCAGCATGCGGAAAGGATGCATTTCAGGCATGAGGCAGAAACAAGCGAGTATTTAATACCATTTTGATGTGAAGCTATTTTGTGAAATTGTAGGTTATTATTTAAAAGTGCAGAAGGCATTTACTCGCAGTAGTACTGTATTTTGGCACAGTCGCTTCTTTCTCAAATGGAGAATATACACAATAACAAAACAAAGTTGGCTGGCTCCATAGTAACATCCCTGTCTTCTCACCCTTGAAAAATTAACGGTTGGCTTCAAGAGTAAGAACCAACACTCACAAAAAAGATGAGCAACTGGTGGTGATCATTCCCATTGGGGGGGGGGGGGGGGGAAGGGGGAAAATGAAACAAAACAACTCGACCAAGGAAGCTCAGTTAATGCTTTACATTGTTCTCAACCCCCAACCCCCAATATTGTGCTTCAAATATTTAGCTACATTGTCCGGCTTGGCGATTTACAAACCATAAATACTTCCCTTTGTCTATAAAGAAAAGCCCAGATTTCACAAGAAACAGAAAGCCTTTCACATCGAGAGCCGCAGCCAGCAAGCAGCGCACTTTCTGGTTACAGCATTATTAAACTACACTGATAAACTAATGTGGGGAAAGAAAACAAATTAGAAACAATAACAAACAAACAAACAAACAAAAAACCCTACATAAAAATCAAGAAGAAATCAAAGATACAACATTCTTATTTCCCACAAGCAAGATGTAATTGAAGGACATTCACTCTTAACGTGTCTGTATTTGGATATTTACACTTACTGAAGAAAGGGGAAAACAATGAGAATAAAAAATTAAAAAAATAAAGAAGAAAAGAGGCCACGGCAGCAAGTAGAGGAAATGTAAAAACCTTTGGGGCAGTTCATAAGTGACTCAGTTTTATGTCTCAGCTTTATTAGCAGCAAATTCTAGTAATCTTTCTTTTAACAACATTATTGCAGTGAATGTACGTGAACGTTCCCATTTGAAAGTCACAAAATGCTGTAAGACTCTTCATATCTGCAAAAAGAATACGCAGTGCTATCAGTGTTACAGCAACCGAATTACCAGATTAAAACAATCTGAGATTTTCATTTTTTACTCAAATGTTTATTATACCCAAAGAAGGAAAATAATTCCTTTTTTTTTTTTTTTTTTTTTTTTCCCTTAAATAGAGAATTTTCAGAGTGAAAACGTCTCATTAAAAAACATTAAATCTCAGTGATAAAACAGCGGTGATGCGTTTGTACTTAAGGATAATGCAAGGTGACAAGATCACACGAAGGAGGGGGAATTATTTGAAAGCACAGCACTTGAGACCACAAAAATCAGAGCTGGGGGTATTTTTCTCCACATAACAAAAGCATCCTTGACTGTATTGCAATGGGCAAAAAAATAAAAATCCCATGAATCCCCCCCAAATTAATGCAGTATTTATTGCTGCTGCAGGAATGCTTACAACCGGCTTCAGCACATCTCACCAAACAGCTACAACCCCGCATCTTCTCTTGCGGCCAGCGGGGCTTCATGTTAAGCCACAAATAGGCAAGGAAAAAAATCAGATCTCATCAGTAAGGAGAAGCAGGATGTGCGTTTGTGAGAGCTCTCATTAGGTGCTGGCTGTAGGACTGCTGTTGGTCGGGCCTGAGTCAGGGACTGGGATTCCATTTTGGGAGATGCTCTAAAACATTAAATCAGAGAAAAAACCTTTATTTTAGCATCAAAACATTTCGATTCCGTGGCTGTATTTTGAAGCACATCAAGGAAAGTTACGAGTCGCTGCAGACGGGGAAGCTCAATATATCCACGGCAGTTTTCGTCTGCTTTCAGACTCTTTAACTGTTACAAATCCCCTCTTCCTCGTCGTGCAGTTGATGCCGTACATAAGCGTGCTCTCCTATATGTAAACATCAGGGGAAATTAAAACGTTAATCGCAGCATTCGCGCAGCCCTTTGTTGTGAGAGCCACCTCCGAGAGACGTTACCACACGCGTTGTACAGCGCGAAGAACGACTCGAGTCACTTCATTTCATCAGCCTTTATTAGACGCCCAATAACGATCTAATTTTGCCGTTTCGATTCGGCCGAAGCGTTTATTTAAAGCGGAGCCCAAAGACAGAACGGGGACTGTTACAGAAGGGGAGACGCGGACATTTTGAGACGCGCGAAACGAGGGGAGCTCCGGATACAGCGATCAGAGCCCGCTGGGGGCCGGACCGCAGCCCCGGGCACGGAGGCAGGCGGGCAGGCAGGGCCCGGCGAAACCATCACCGCGGATGGCTGCGCTTGGCGACAGCCCGACTTACCCACCTTATTATGATCTCCGTCCACTTGTGTTTATTTAGCCTTTTCAAATAGAGGGTGACCACGGCCAGGCCTTGCTTTATTTGCACCGCTTTCGTCCCGCTTTGGCCCACGCGTGTCCGCAGCCCGCAGCCCCGCGGCGGCTCGGCACGGCCGGCAGTTACCTTACCGAGCGGCGAATCGAGGCGCCACGATCGCTCTGGCGGCGCTTTTGCGCGAGGAAAGCAACGATTAGGGGAAAAAATAAAAATAAAAATAAGAAAGAAAATTTAAAAAAGCGAAAAAAAAAAAGATTTCTTTTTCTCTCGTCCTAAAAGCAGCACAAGGAACCGCAGCGCCGCGTCGCTCACGCGCCCCGAGGCCTCGCGGGGAGCCCGCGGGCGGCAGCGGCGGCAGAGGGGAGGAGGAGGGTCGCGGCGCCGCCCGCCCCCCGCCGGGGCCGCGCTGCCCGGGGGCGCCCTGCCCGCTCCGCTCCGCGCTGCGCCACTCCGCTCGGCCACTTCCCGGCTCCCGCTGCCCGCGCGGCCCCGCCTCCCAGCGCCGCGCGCCGTATCCCTCCGCGCTCCGGCCGCCCGCCCGCTCGGCGCAGAGAAAGCGGCCTCATCCCGCCCGCCGCCTTCCCGCCCGCCCCGCCTCCGCCGCTCCGACATCTTCTCCCCGCGCGAGCCGACCGGCCCGCCAGTCAACGCGCTCCCCTCGGTGTCGGCGCGGCGGGGCGGGAGCCGCGGGCCGCCCGCCCTCCCTCCCCGGCGCTCCTTCCCCGACCGGGCGGCGGCGGCGGCGGCGGCTGCGTCCGGGGACGCGGGGGGAGGGGCGCTGCGCTGCGCTGCGGGCGGCGGGGCTGAGGCGGGGGGCGCGGAGCGGAGGAGGAAGGGACTCTTTCTCCGGGCGGAGGGATCGCGCTGGCGGCGGCTGGCGGTGGCGGCGGCGTTGCGGGCGGCCGCGAGTTGTTGTTTCCTCCTCCCGCCGCCGCGCTGCCCGCGGGGCGAATGCCGGAGCCGAGGCGCTGCCCGCGGAGCCGGCGGTGACAGGCGCGGCCCCCCCGCACCTCCCGCTTTCCCCTCGCCATGTCCGGGGACGGCGGCGGCAGGCACACGGCGGAGCTGCGAGCGGGTGAGTGCCGGGCGGGAGGGGGAAAGAAAGGGCGGGCGGGCGGGCGGGCGGCGGGGCCGGGAGCCGCAGCCCTCACCCTGCCCTCTCCCCGCAGAGCTCTACTTCCTCATCGCCCGCTTTCTGGAGGACGGGCCCTGCCAGCAAGCGGCTCAGGTAGGGACGCGCGGGCGGGCGGGCGGATGGCGCCGGGCCTGGCCGGGGAAGGGGGAGGAGGGGGGGGGGGGGGCGGCGGTGCGCGCCCACCGCCCCTCTTTCCTCCTCCCTAATTTTTCTCTCCGTTCCCCCCTTCCCTGCCCCCCGACCCCCTTTTGTTGCTGCCGCAGGTCCTGATCCGAGAAGTGGCGGAGAAAGAGGTAAGCGCGGCCCGCCCCGCCCGCGGCCCCCCCGCCCCCTCCCTCTGCCTCCCGCCCCCGGCCCGGCCCCGCTCACGCTCTCCGCTCCCCCCGCAGCTGCTGCCCAAGCGCACGGACTGGACGGGCAAGGAGCACCCGCGCAGCTACCAGAACCTGGTAAGGCACCGCCGGGCCGCGGCCGCGCGCTGCGTGCGGGGCTTCGCTGCTTCTCCCTTTGATTTTTCTCCCCTCGCTGAGCTGCCTGCCCGAGAAAAATTGAATTTCCCGCAAAAAGAAGGAGGGGAGGAAAAAAAAAAAAAAACTTGAAAAAAAATTCCGAAGTTGTTTCCTTATTTTATTTTTTTTTTTTTTCCCTCCCCCTCCGAACGTTTTTATTACTGCATTTATTTGCTTCTGTCTCGCCGATCCCCCCGCGCCCCTCTCTCCCCTCGCTGCTCTGCCGGGGCCGAGGGGCGCAGCGCGCGGCCGCACTGCGCGAGGCGCGGAGGCGCCGTGCGGGCACGCAGCGCGGCGCGGCGCAGCGCGTCACGGGGGCGCGCCGAGGGGCGGGGCCAAGCGGGGTGCGCGCGGCCGGGGCCGCCAGCAGTTCCGCCAGCAGGCGGCGGCGCGCCCCGCGCCCGCGGGCACGGCGCGGACGCACAATGGCTCCGAGCGGCGGCGATCGGCCCGGCCCGCTCCGTGCGCCGTGCCCGGGGTTCTGAAGTGCAAGGCCTGCCGTGTGCAGCAGTGGTGAGCTGCTGGGTTCTTAGAGCAGATGCAAGTTGTTTTGCTGTTGGGTTGCTTGTGGTGTTTTTTTTGTTTTTGTTTTTGTTTTTGTTTTTTTTAAATCCTTTTTTTGTTCTTACTGTGCATAACAGGTGAGGGGCTGTGGTAGCAAAGGTACTGCTTGCAGTGGTGTAGTTCTTGCTAGCAGTGGTGGGCCTGAATCCATCCATCCATCCATCCATCTCTGTTTTCTAACACACTGTGAGCTGTGCTAGTTGGGAAACTGAACTTAAGGTGTCTGACACGTGCCTGTTAGCAACTTGTTGCTGGTGTTGTTTTCAGTACCACGTTCTAATTCATTCTCTACCTGCATGTGTCTGGAAGGCTGAACCCTGCCTGTCCCAGCAGTGCTTCCCTCCAGGCTGCATGCGGTGGCTCTGAGCTCAGTATTGAGGTGTGGACGACTTTGAGCTCACACCACAGGAAAGACAACAGTCCCCATCCCGGCCAGTAAGCCCTGCTCACATGTGTGTTGTTCTAGACGCGTGTAGGTGAATGCCACAACATGAATCGTGGGCGCTGACTGCACTTGGAACAGTTCATTTATTGCACTGTGGTTTTCTTTTTCTAAACCATGAAGTGGGTTTGCCAATGCTTTGTAACACACGTGGGTGTCAAAACATTGATAGCAATTGGCCTGTTGAAAACGTGTTCCTGAATGGTAATACTTTCCCATTTTCTTGAGATTAAAGATAATAAAGGAACTCTACCAGGAATTTTAAAGTGTTGATACTTAAGCGTGATTTCTCAAACTATTAACAAATATTTTTTAATTAATTTATTTTTCTTAAGAACGTGTTATCCATTTCAAATAACAATCACACATGATTTGATAACACTTGATCTGAGCTTTTCTCTTAACGTGTTTCATCTTTCAAAGATTGGAGGTGCAGCTTTGGTGTGGGATGGATTTGGGGTTCTTCTATATCATCTGCATGTTAGAGATATGTGGACAGAGAAAGCGAGGAAGAAAATTGAAAGGTTGAGCTAAGAAATATTAATGAGAAATGAGTTCATTCAGACCCTTCTTTCCAAGCATCTTTTGTTTGCTGGAATGTAGGTAAATACCTAATTTAGTCAGAATAAGTGTGTAAGGATGTCAGATATACGTCTTACAACTTGGCCTTGAGTGTGAGTACATATGTTTGAAAACATGGTAATGAGTAGATCCCTTCTCTTTTCCTGCTCTTTTATTCCTAAGAAAGCTTTCTTCTTGTGTTCAGCGTTGACCAGGAAGTCTTCCTGTTCTGCCCTGTCTTACCTTGGAGTTGGGAGAGAAGAGAAAAAGAAGTTGGTTACTTTGTGTTTGGTACTCTCCTTCCTCATGTTTGCTGTAGCTTCCCTTGTCAAAGTTGTGTGAACTTTGTATCTTTTGACGTTTCAGGTGCAGAAGCGTATTTGCAGGGTGTTGGTTACATTTGATACAAAGAAGTGGTTTTCATTAAACAAAAGATTGTTAGTCTCTAACCTGAGAATCTTCAGCTGAAGTTTGAACTTGTTTCTTTTTTAATACCCACCTTTGAGGTGCTGATCCTTACTTCTGAAGGAAGCAGACTTTGTCATGTGTTGATGATACCCTCGGGTGCCCTGAACTCGCACTGAACTCTACAGAGGGGTCCGAGGAAAGCTAAGAATCAAAAATACCACTGAATGTAATGCTGTAAAGCCTTTTGCTCTAGAGGGGCATAAAGGCTCCGTGCAACAGCTGATGGGATTTAAGCCCCGGCTCCTGTTTTATTATTTGCAAACTGATGCTACTTATTACAGATGTATTTATGTGGATCTTGCAGAGCGTGTATTTCTCAACGGATGATGCTTCTGGTTTTGTCTCCTTTGTGAAAACATTTACTTAGGAAATCTCACTAGATGTAACTTTTTAATATTAGACTGAAATTCACCGTCTTTAGTATTTTATTGCTGTAGCTTAATTGATGCAAATGATGTTAGACTTGTCAAAATTTTAACCTTATAAATTACTTTGATTTTTTCTCTTTGGTCAGCAAAAGGAAACTTTGTTTCCTTACAAGCTAATGCTGTTGCAGGCTTGTAATGCTGCAAGAAAATACATGGATTCAGAAAAGCTATTCTGCTATGTTTTGTATTCTGAAGTGGCTTTCTTTCAATTCAAATAGTTCTATATTTTTTTCCTGCAGTCAGCATTTGGGGATGAAGCCATCTGATTCTTGCTCAGAGGCCAGCTGAGTGTTTGTATTGTCGCTAGTACAGTTTCTGTTTGTGTTGAGACAGAGGCTTTCTGACAGCTGTGTCCTTAGGAGTCTGTTTGCGGGTGACACAGAAGGATGGTGGCAGGACTCTGCAGGTAGGGATGTTTTTTGTTCTCTTCTATCAGTTGTGAAAATTGAGTGAAGCTCTGCTTTTCCTTTAGTTTTGAAGGAGTGGGGGTTTCTCGTGAGAGGGGATGAAAACTGAGGAGTCAGTAGATCACTGGTGCAGAGTTGGGGGAGCAAATTGTTTATAGGCTTTGAAACATTTTTATTAGGGCCTCGACGCACAAACAAGCCACGGTGCATCATTTGACACCGGGGTAATTGTTTTTTCATGTTCCAGTTCCATGTGGGTGTAGCTGATCTAATTGCGTGCTGTCGCTGAGAGCCGTCCAATTCTGCCGCATCCTTTATGCGCCCATCCAAGTGTGCGGTCAGTCGGGTAAGGGAGCTGAACTGTCTGAAAAATGAGCAGCACCAGAATGCTTGTGGGATGATTCAGCTTGAGCTCTGCGCTCAGCAGCGTGGGCCTGACACCAACATCAGGGAGATGGTGAGGGCCTGGGAGTCTGCTGGGGCTGTTCCTTCTGGGGACGGGGCGCCTCAGCCGGCTGAAGGTGACTCGGGATGTGCTGTGATGATTGGAAGCTACCATACAGCTGTTCTAGGTCTTCTAGGGTGCAAACGTGGTGCGTATGATCAGAACTACTGCATTGGCCTCGTTCTTATTTAAAATACCCACACACTGTGATAATTTTTTTTTCCTCTGTTGAGTTACAATTTCATTTGTGTCGATGATGGTTGAGGAGGGAGATGGCAGAGAGCTCACACCCAGTAGGATGGCAGTGCCATGGGTTTCGTAGGCAGCGCGGCGAGCTGTGTTGTTCTCAGAAATGTTTGTTACTGTTTTGCTAGCATCTGCCACTTCCTTTTCCCCTGTCCTCAAATGCTAAATGTGATTCAAAGTGAAAATGACTATTTTTAGGCTGTTTCAGTGTTCCTTCTATGTAACTTCATGCACCTTAGCGTAAACAGAAAGAGAGGATCTGTTGGCATTGTACACTGACACTGAACTTCATTGTTTGTGACACAGCAAAGCGTTTCAGGCAGCAGTATGGTTGCTGTTTAGTAATTGGTTTCTTAATAAGTAACCAAGCACTAAGTGATTCATTTCTTTAGGGAATCCTGTGCTGTGAAGGTATTCAGAGAAAAAGGGAAGAAAAAGAAAACTGGCATTGAATCCAACAGCTGTACCATCACCTAGTTCTAGTTATTAAGAGTATTTTCAAGAAAGTCTTAGTATTTTGGAAGGTGGTCTGGAAGGCGTATAAGTGATGGCATGAAAACCTGTGAGATGACTGTGGTCCTTAGCAAGGATTTTGGTTTCATTTTCAGTGCTGCTATTGGACATATGTAAACTTCCATGACTTTTAGCTTCACAAGAGGGGCATTGCTGTCATGTACTTTGCTCCCACAGCTAAGGACCAAACCACTGCATGGCAAAGTGAGCTGTTCTGCACTTGTTCCTTTGGACTGAGGCTGAGGTGTTGAAAGATGGACCCAAGAGGGCTGTTAAAATTCCTAAGTGTACCTTCCCTTAGTCTTTTTTTTTTTAATTTCCTTTTTTTTTTTTTTTTTTTTTAAGGCACACTTCAGAATTATTATTTTTTAAAAGGAAACAAAACAAAACATGCAATGAGCTGAGTACAGGCCATATAGTTTACATGCAAGCCCACAGTAACACACACAGCTGTGTGATCCACCAGGCTGAAAATGCTGCTACAGTTGTTCCTAACTTACTGTGCAGTGAGCTGCAAACCTGCAGCAGCCTGTTTGTCTGCTGAGGCTTGGGGATTTTTATCTGCTCAGACCTCCCCTATTAAAAGCACAAAATAGTTGAATAACAGGTTGTATCTTCTTGGAGTGGGTGGTTTTTCATCAAGGTCTGTTTATTTCAATAGAGGTTGTGTGTGGTAAAATAATATGTGTTCTGCAGGGGTTGCTGACCGAGGAGCTGTATCTTGTGAGGTCACAAATAATTGGGAAGTGTGTGAGAAACAAAAATGTTCAGGGCTAATTGTGAATTCTCCACAGAATCACAGAATGCCCCAGATTGGAAGGGACCTCAAGGATCATGAATCTCCAACCCCTCTGCCACATGCAGGGCCACCAACCTCCCCATTTTATGCTAGACCAGGCTGCCCAGGTCCCCATCCAACCTGGCCTTGAACACTTCCAGGGACGGGGCATCCACAACCTCTCTGGGCAGCCTGTTCCACACCTCACCACTCTCTCTGTAAAGAACTTCCCCCTGACATCCAACCTAAATCTTCCCTCCCTCAACTTAAAATCATTTCCCTTCGTCCTGCTGTTATCTACCCTTTTTAAGAGTTGACTCCCCTCCTCAGAGTTTGTAGGCTCCAGTTTCTACCTCTGCATCCCATATTCCTTCCAAGCTGCCCCTCTCAGAGATCAAAGCGATCTGGAGAAAAGTAATTGCACGTTCCTGCAATTCCTAACGTTATGGTGCTGAGGCAGTAGTGAGTGGTACGGGCTATTCAGTTTGATTGATGGTCAGATGTAATGCAACAGTTACTGTAATTCTATTTGGAGCTTGTTTTGGGTAATGTGCTGTATAACAGAATAGTTAAGGCTGGGCTGAATGCTGGTTTTGGTGAGATTGAACTCGCATCTTGAGATCAAGGTAGCTGACTGGCAGATTTTATTGTCCTGCTGTGGAAATGTGTCCTTTGGAAAGATGTACAATGAAACTTATTGTTAAGCATGTTAACTATTGGCATGGGGGGAAAGCAGCTGTACTTTGGGGAACATTTCAGTACGTGCAGTGCTTGGGGCAGAGTCCGGAACGGGGTAATCTTTTAGCTGATGTCTGAAGGAGTCGGCACACGGCTGCGTTCTGCAGTACCATCTGACTAAGGAGTTAAGTCGTGATGCTGTTGATTCATCCGTTGTGATTCGGATGCTGAATTATTCTGCAGTGTCATGCAGAATGAAAATATGAGCACTTAGGCCTGGTTGGAAGGTAACAGTGCTTTGAGCGTCGGTGGCAGTGGCTGCTTGCTGTGTGTTCCCCTGCTGTTCTTCTGTCACAAGCGGAGCTGGGGTAGGAGGTGAGGAGCGAAGCTGAGGGTAATGCTTTGTAATGTCATAGAAAACATTGGTCATACTTAAGATCTGAAATTTTTGCTCTAACAAAATTCAGATTCCTGTTACGGTAATGTTCAAGAAACATGACAGAATAATCATGGAAGTGTGTTAGCTCATTATTCTCTTTATGAAAACCTATTGTATGCATTCAGAGTTAAATATTGCAGAAATACTGGTAGGAGGAGGAAAGAAACCAGCTAGAATTTCTTTTAGGTGGGGCTGGCAGTAAAAATATCCCTGCTTTTTGTTTACTGTCTGACATTACAATTTTGGCATCAAGTTTTAAGATTTGTGTTTGTAGTCCAGCCTGCTTTTAGCTTAGAGCTGCATGAATTGTAAGTACTTGTACATCTGTCGTGGCTTTTTCCCTGCTTCCACTTTCTCCTTTTGAGATTAAGACGACTTTCCATCATTCTATTGGCTTGTCATGAGCTTTTCTATTTCTGACAAAGCTGTAAAGTATCCTTTTAAAAAGTGATTTAATTTCCTTTTTTGTCACTTAAATCTGACTTCAAAGTCTTTTTTATTTGGTTTCCCTTCTCTCTCTGAGAGCAGTAGGAATATTTGGTGTTGGTTTCGCTTCTTTTCATGGTTTACCAGAAAGGGAGAAATCATAGAACTAAGATGAATTTCTGTGTTTAAGCACTTTTTCATTTTTGATTTCTACCGTAATGCTAATCGTCACATTAACAAGTTAATAGTGTTATAAGAGGATTATTTTATTTTTCCTGAAGGAGAAGAAAGAAGTTTTCACCCGGAGAAAACTTAATGTTGTGTTTTAAATAAATGAAGTCCCTTCATTTGCCTCTTTGTAGAAGGAGAAAAGGGAAGGGAGTGAGTAAATAACACTGGTAATGAAATGAGATTCTCGCCTTTGCAGATTTTACAATGAAATGAAGCTTACTCTGCTTTTTTCTTAAAAATAAAATTCTTGTGCATGTTCAGTCTCGTATATGTAGAATATATATACTTTCCTCTTACATAGGAAAATAAGAGGCACGTGTTGACTGCATTTGGTTCCTGAATTTTTGATAAACTTCCTGGAACTTGCAAGTGTTAAATGGGCCCACGCCACTCATTAGACTTATTATATTTGTTTTATTTCAGCACACGGCTCACTTGGTGTTGTGTTGCTTTGTTAATGAGCCTGGGTGCAAGTGTTGCTTGATGGCAAACGGATTGTTAGGGAAATACTGCCCAGAAGCATCCACAGTGCTGCTTGGTGTGGTTGCTGGCTGTTTTCACACAAATGGGCTTAGACAAGAAGAGGCTGTAGTGTGGATAAAAGGTTTGTTTGAAGATTGTACCTGCTAACGATTAAGAGTTCCCTTATTTCAAAGCAATTGCAGGAGGAGTTGAGCCTGCCTTATTTCTGCTAGAAAACAAACAAACAAAAAAACCGAACACATGGCTTCTGACAAATCATGAGACATATGACTCAAGATGCAAGCTAGCTGTAGTTTTGGAACGTGTCAAAGCTGATTTGCTTCATTTGCCTGAGATTTTGTGCGCTTGCAAGAATGTGTAAAAATGAAGGGTGTTGAGCAGGATAAAATGGCAACTGCATTGCACGGGGAGCTTAATGCTGGTGGTCGGATGAAAAGCATCGCTGATTGTTAGTCTTTGGGAGACAAGTTTGGATGCCACAGACACGAGGTCTGGCTGCAGAGAGCTCTCGTACAAAGGGCTGTATTCGTTAGGTTTGTGCTCCTTCTGATAGGAGTGAAGGAGAATAAAAGCAAAGGAAATAGATCCGGGCTGCTGATGGCAGGAACCGTGCTTGGCTTTGTTGCTCCTTGCAGCTATTCTAATATTCTGGGGCACTCAAGCGTGCATTCTGACTGTGATTCCTCCTTCTCTAAGTAAAGAGAAGTGAGTTTCATTTGCATGTTATTGATAAGGAAAATGAATCAGAATAGCAAGTTCTGAGCGCTGTGGATTATTTTTTGTCTCTTTTACGAGTGCCTGTCTGATGTCATTAAATTTACTCCAATGAACTAATCTGTACCATCAGCTGTAACTTTCAAGTACTTCTCAAATAATTTCCAATATTTTTCAAGAAAAGCCTTTTTTTTTTCCTTTTTTTTTTTTTTTTTAAACCTGTGTGAATTTTGTAAATCATGTAACTGTAAGGCAAACTCAGGCATCTTGCAAGGCCTTCTGCAGGGGAAATGTAAGTAATGGGAAGAGTGACAGAAGAGAGAGTTTTTCCTCCGTCACTCTAAGTGCGGGGCGGTGGCAATTCCAGGTATGAGCAGAGCTCTTCCAGGGCCTCAGACACGAGCAGTCTGTATGTTAGGAAATTGTTGGAATATCTGAAACGACTTCAGCGCGTCAGCAAGACGGGAGCTTGTTTGATGAAGAACCAGGTATATTCCTATTAATTGCAGTACAGAAGGACCCATCTACCTAAAATGTCAGTCGTGGCCTTCTGTAGTTGTAGAATAACACAGCATCACAAGTTTTTACTGCAAGTCTTTTCTGCAAAGTAGTGCTACGGAGTCACGCTTCAGGCTGGGTGAAGGACAAACTACTGAGTGCCAGATCCCATAGTAGAGCAGAGGATTGAGTTCTCATTCTTCCTCTTCATTTTACTGTTTTAAATATTCTTTTCTATTTTTTAAACTGGCAGTAACTTAAGAAGAAATGTTTTTAAATGTCCAGCTGAAAGCTTTGTGGTTAATAGCGTTTTACTGTTGTCATGTATTTTGAAACTTTTACATAAAGATGTTTGCGGTGGTGCTGCAGAGGATGATCTTCTGATCTATAATTATGGTAGTTCAATAGAATGATCTGGGCCGTCGTTAATATTGGTTTGATGATGTAGTCAAGTGGCAAGGAAATCTGCTGCAGAGAACAGGAGCTTGTTTTGGTTCTGTGCAGCTGAAAACTCTGAGCAGTGACAGAAAGTGGTTGTGGCTGGTGTGTGTATTCCTCTGTTAAACTACAGTTCTTAAGTTGAATTCCTCAAGTGAATGTTTTGGTTTAGATGTTTTACATCTTTATTAAAAAAAAAAAAGGAAACAAGGCAAATTGTGGAGCTTCAGTTATGCCTCACAAACTTGGTGAGTTGAATGCCATTGTGTCAGGTGCATTTTCTACAGAGCTATGTTACGTATTCAGTGTATTCGAACCTTTCAGTAATTCTGTAAACATTGCATTCCTTAGAGTCCTTTTCTTAATCTTGTGTTATGGTAATTGAAATTGACCAGACAGATAATTAAGTGTAATACTGAATTTGTTCTTATACATTTTTCATTGTTATAAAGGAGCTTATTAGTCTATGAACAACTGTGCTTTAAAGTCACAGTAATAAATGTCAACAGATCTCTCTACAAGTAGCATACTTTGAATAGCAAATTTAATTAGGACCAGCTGGAATGAGTTATTGTTCTTAAAGGTCATTATATGTTTTTATCTTCTGAAGAAAATAATAGTATATGAATTTGTGTAACAATCTGAAAAAAAAAACCAAAAACCAAGCTTAGGAATTCTTCAGAAATATTACGCTTTTCTTTATCCAGTGCTTTGCTTCTTTTTTCATGCAATAGGTGAAATACTACCGACACTTGGCACCTGATCACTTGCTTCAAATATGTCATCGACTAGGACCGCTTCTAGAGCAAGAAATCCCCCAGAGCGTCCCTGGAGTGCAGACGTTATTAGGAGCTGGCAGACAGTCTTTGCTTCGTACAAACAAAAGTATGAAAATTGTGTGAGAGCTTTGAGAATTCTCGCTATTTCATGCCTGAGAAAATCCTGTTCTCCATTCTTTGTGTAATTCTTCTAAAACAGGTTGCAAACACGTTGTGTGGAAGGGGTCTGCTCTTGCTGCGTTACATTGCGGGAGGCCTCCGGAGTCACCTGTAAACTATGGCAGTCCACCTAGTATAGGTAAGTCAGTTTTATTGAGGCATTGCCACTGTACAACCTGACTCCCAGGGTAACTGACTGTAGTAACAATGAGTGCTAAGTACCAATTCTGTTTGTCCTTGTTTGTGTCATATTCCTTGCACTGAATGTTAATAAGATGTCATAAATGGACATATTTGCACATTTGTATGTGGAAGTTCTCTGCCAATTCTGCTCTGAAGCTAGATATTTTTCTCTTTGAAGCATACGGTTGAATAAATTATGTTTCAATAGTGAATACATACCAATAAAACTCATTTTGTTTAAGGTATAATAATGCTGTCAGTAGATAAATAATTTGTGCAGTGGACCAACTTAAAACCAGGACAGCATAGTCTGTTCCTGTTGGAGAGAAAGAATAAATCACACGGACTGGTGATGTTTTCTTTGGAAAGTTGTGAGTGTCTTGTAGGAGTGATCATTTCTGCTCTCTGGTCCATTCAGTAATTTCATAGCTCTGCTTTAGTTGGCTGTGTTACGTTGTGAAGCATGCATATGCATAATGTATATTATATGTAATAGGTATATCATTAGTTACTTTTTTAAGCTTTACTTAAGGTGATATTTTGATCTCTGTTCCGTGTTAAAACTACTTGTGTGAAGAAAAGCTGTCAAAACATGATGTATATTACTACCAGTACTTCTCTAATATTAGTTTAGTCAGGGAGTGGCCTTTTTTTTTTTTTTTCCAATCGTGTGTAGCTGAACATGCAGAAAAGCATATTCAAAAAATCTTACAAGGCTTCAGAGTAGATCAAGCATCTAATTAGTTCTAAAAACAGAACAGTAGTTAGTTAAAGGTATGCCTTGAACAGGCTAATTTACACCTTCTTTCCTGAAAGCTGTTTAAGCACACGATTAGTCAAACATCATTTGACCTCTAAGTGTGTGTGTGTTTGTGGGGGAGGGGGAGAACAAACATGCATTCTCTAGAAGCTTTCATGAGCAGCAGAAATGTTATACAGATTTCTTTTTAATCATAAAGCAAGGACTTTATGTGCAATCCAGAATTCTTTTAGATGTAGGGGCACTTTTTTTTTCTTAACACTTGGAAATTTAAGGACCTGGGAAACTTAATGGTGACTGAATGAGTTGAGATGCCTTGAGGAGTAAATATTGCAGTAGCAGCAGGTTTCTGGGCCAACCTGAAGTTGCTTAAGCAATGTTAATGCTGTGATACTTCACATTGCTGCTAAAAGATAGGCTGCTGTGAAGATGAGGTTTCTGACTTGCCAAAAACAGAGTGCTGAAGATACACTGGGAGAACTACTGACAATGTAGAAATGCACAGCTGGGTGCTATTCAGGCATACTCAGTGTGGTAACTTGCTGTAGCAGTTTTTGGAAGTTGGAACTCTGTTATTGGGATATTGTTAACCTGTTAGGTTTCTGTGGATGGGTAGAGCTCAATTTGGCTATTTATATTATTTCTAATGTTGAAGAATCACAAAATCAAATATCAAAGACACATAACGTTTAATAAAATTACACCCAGAGGATTATGGTTTTGTCCTATAGCTGAAGCAGAAACATGCTACAGCTAAGAAGATTTTTTGAGATTGAGCACTGCCAGCCTTGATTTGGTCAGATGGCAAAGTATTTGGTGTTCTAGTGGACTTGTTATTTGAAGGCTTTAAAAGAACATGGCTTTGGTGGGTATTTAGAGCTAAGTTTCTAAAACATCCTCGGCTAGTAAATGTGTTGGCTTGAGGCAATTCTCTTAAACCCTACATCCATTCAACAAGATTTTATTTACAGGTATAATTTGAGTATTTAATTATAAAGAATTGCTTCCATGTTGTATTCTAGATGTGGGGGAAGAAATGCTTGTTGTTGAATATTTCCCATCTCAAGTGTCTGTGCATTGTCTTGAATACTGAAAGTTGGAAAATCTTGGGCTAAGTGAGCAGCCTTACCTGCAAGGTGTGTGGAGGACAGAGCTGTCCTTCCACTGTCTTCTAAAAGTGAAGGTTTCCTTGGTAGTGATTGTCTTAACTTTCTCTATATTTGGCATACATATACTGAAATATGCTTGAAGAAAAAATTAGAGCAGAAGGCTCTGTGTTACTTTGTACTTACTCCATTACTTTGTAGCTTAATCCATGATGTGTATTTTTTCAAGGGACAGGACCAGTGCACGAGGTCTGCCAGTTAGGTATCAAAGGCAGTTGTAGAATTGCCATGTACAGAAGTTGATTGTTAGGAGAAATAACTCTCAGACTCATTTTATGGAAGAAAAAGTAGGGCTTTCTAAGTAAATGTTATTTTTATGGAAACTTTTGCAGAACACTGAATATCTGCAAAATTACAGTTACTTTAACACACCACTTTTTTCATGACCAATAATTTCCTTTTCCGAACATCCAAATAAGTGTTGGTAACTGCATATTTTCAACTGTTTTTTGAATGTTTGATTCAGATCCGTGTGTTAAAGCATTTGCTTTTGATTAATTCTATTCTAGTCCAATCCTTTCAGTGAAACTGGGAGTTGGAATAACTCTTAATTCATAAATTGAAATGATTCTGAAGTAAATTCCTTTAGGAAGGCTGTGTTTTACATATTTGCTGTTTGGAAACTTATTCTCCAGGCTGTGTATATTTCAGTTGGAGAGCCCACTAATGACTGGGGAGGGGAAAAGCAGTCTGTCTGTTTTGTGGAGGCTTTTTCCTTTATTTACATATTACTAAACATGTAGCTGTATTTGTTCATTTCCTAGCTTTAGGAACCAATGCACTCATGATACCGTTATTATATTATATTCTTTAGTATTAATTTTTTTTCTACATTATGATAGCAGCTTTATGGATAACTTTTATATGCAGTTAAAATACATCTGTACAAGTACTTACTTCACCAGAAATCTATAGTATATGTCTAGAAAAATATAATGGAAAACCAAAACTCGTGTAATGAGTAATGTCTCTCTGTGTTTAATTAAAATCAAAAAGGAGAATTGGAACTCAATAGTCTTTAAGGTCTCTTCCAACATAAGCCATTCTATGATTCTTTTGTTTTGTTAAAGATCCATAAAGACTTTCATGAATGCAGAAGCAGAAATAGGAAATTTTTTTAAGTAACTTTCAGGAGCTGCTGAAAAAGCACAGAGCCAAAACTTGAAGTTCTGAGTTCAGAGCTCTTAGGGAAGCTGGTTATTCATGTGTGAAGACCTGAGTGAGACTGGCTGCTCATTCCCTGCTAATGAAGAATGTGTTCCCTGGCTGATTAATGTATCTGCCTGATTTTGCTGAATAGTCCACTTCAAGAAAAGTTCTGAGAATTTTTTTTTATTTTCTCAGTTTCTCTATTCAGTTATCCTGCTGTTTGGGCTGAAAACAGAACACGATGTTCTAAAAGTGGTGTAGATGTTTGTTTTCAGAAATGTAGTAAATACTTGAGGCTTAAAAGCTAACTTCAGACTATGCTGTATAACCGTATTATTTTCCTGTGATAATAAAAATAAACCCAAAATAAACTAACCCAAAAGACGAACTTTAGTTTTTTAATACTAGAAATGTGATACATTTTCAAGTACCTGTGTCAAAGTAACATTTGTTATTTGTTCAAGTCTAAAGAGAAATATACTAAAATGGAAACCTTCTTGTGCAAGAAGAACAAGAAGTAAGAGAAGTCTTAAGGTGCTCATATTTTGAGTAAAAATCAATGACTAAATAATAGCAGAATGTAAGTGGGGTTATATTGAAGTCAAGGATCAGGTTGGAAGTGCTGAGGATTGTATAGCTTTGGGTTGTTGTTGCTTTTCCAAGCGTCTCACCTCCCATCTCTGAATTATTAAGGTTTTGACACCTAATTCCATTGAGCAAATTGACTTTATATGTAAAGTTTAAGATGTACGTAGACCCTTTGTATTCTCAGAAACACTCCTATGGGGAGTCAGTATACTTTAACTTCCCCATGGACGAGTCCTGACTTGCTCAGATTGCTAGCTTTACCATGGCTGGCAGTTATCTGTGAGCCAGAAGATTTAGATTTATGCGTGGAGTTTAGAAGCTGAACAGAGAAACGGTAGGAAGGTAGAAGTCAATTCAAGCTGCCTTCTTGACTTTGAACATCTTTACAGAAGGGGCGTGGGGGAGAAAGCCTGAACTCATGATGCATTTAACATTGCTAACTTTGACAGCAGAAGGAGGAGTCAGGCAGTCTTGTTGCTTTATTGTTTTTCAACAGCCCTAAGTGCTGTAAGGTCATTAGAGGTGTGACTAGCTTCTCAAGTTATGAAAGTCGATTCATTATGGGTAGGAGTTGTAAATAATGTGTTCTTCAGGTGTCCTTCCAGCTTTTTTTCTTGAACCCAAATCAATTTTTGTCTGAATGGAAAAGGAACAAAGTTGGTTTCTGTTTTGTGGAATAGAACTTTCATAAATTAAATACAAATCCAGAATGGAAGAAAACAAGATGTAAGCTGTAGTGATTTTGTGCATGCTTTTAAAATGTAACTTATACTTGGTAAAAAAAATTACATTGTGTTTATTGATGGGTAAAGCACACATTGTTCTCCCTCGTCTTTAAAAGCCTATTTCATGTTCCAGGGCAAAACTATATAAATAAGGGGATCAAATTGGTTGCTTTGATAAAACTAAGATAAGAAATCCATGGGGGAAATAAAAAGATCAGTGTAATTAATACAGCTATGTCTGTCAGATACCAGCGTTTATCTTGATTATGCAGTTTGCCATTTTTGTTGCTCGTTTTGTTTTGGGTACTGGGTGAGTTACAGACGTTCTAAAACTTCGAAGACATTCAAGTTGGTGCCTGCTGCATGCCTTTTGAGTAAAAGAAAGCCTGTGACAATCTTCATGTTATGTTGAAATTCCCTAACATTTTGCATTCAGCAGCTTTATGTTTGATTTTGAATTGTTCTGATTCAAGGCAAACAAAGTAAGGTTATCTTGACTCTGAGATGTGTGGTTTTCAGATTTATGTTATTAGCAGTGAATCATAACAGTAGGAATGAGATTATATTAAAAACAAAAACAAAAACAAAAAAGGAAGTGAAGTTCAATTTCACTAGGTTGTTTTTAATATCCCAATTTTCTGTTCACATCTTAGCTTTCAAAATTGTCATAACTTTCATGCTGACAAACAGGGAGAAGTGCAAAGTCCTGCAGGGTTGGGGAAGGCCAATTCCAGGCACCAGGACATGCTGGGGTTACCCAGCTGGAAAGCAGCCTGGCAGAAAAGGATCCATGGGTCCTGATGGACACCAAGTTGAATGTGAGTCAACAGTGTGTCCTTTCTGCTAATAATATATTAGCAGAATATAAAATAAGAAGGCTTACAGTATTCTTGGCTACATTAGACAAAGTGTTACTTCATCAAGAAGAGGTGGTCTTTTCTCACTACTCAGCACTGGGGAGGCCATGACTGGAGTGCTATATTTGGTTTGGATATAAGAGAGAGTTGTACTGGAAAGAGTCCAGCATGGGGCCGTGAAGTTGATGAAGGGACTGGAGTCCCTCTCCTATAAGGAGAAGCTGAGAGAGCTGGGAGAAGACTGCAGACAGCCTGGAGAAGACTCAGAGGGATCTCATCAGTCTGTATAAATACCTGAAGTGGGACACAGAATTAAGAGCCAGGCTCTTTGCTGTGGTGCTCAAGAGGCAGTAGCCACAAACTAGAACACAAGTGGTTCTGTCTAAACACCAGGAAACTTTTATTCACTATGCTGTTGACCACAGACTGCTTTATGAAGTTTCCACCTGTTGTGGTTTGACCCAACAGGAGGCTCTGCACCACAAAGTCGTTTGCTCACTCCCCTCACTTCTGCTTGATGTCATATTGTATGGAGTATCCCTTTGGCCAGTTTAAGTTAGCTGTCGAAATTCTGTTGCCTTCCAGTTCCTTGGGTACTTTGCTGTGAATGGCCTTGGCTTTGTACAGTGCTGCTTAGCAGCAACTATAATAAACATTGGTGTGTGTTATTAGTATTGTTTTTCTCATAGAACCCAAACATAGCATCATACCAAACACTGTGAAGAAAACAGTTTTGTCCCAGCTGAAGATAAGACACCGTCCTTGATGATGCTCAAAACCCAACTGGGCTCAGTCATGGTCACCCTGCTCTGGTGTCCCTATTTGAGTAAGAGTTTGGACCTGGTGTCTTCCAGAAGTCCCTTCCAACCTCAGCCAAGCTGTGATTCTGTGATAGCAGACAGTTACAGGACTAAAACCTGCAAGCCAGTTCATTTTGTATTTGTAAGCAACTGATAAACAATTCATAACAACTTAAATAATAACATTCTGTGGAAATGTGTGTTTTTTCATGTTTGAAATCTGCAGTGCATGTAACTTTTTAAGGCATTTTTTTCTGATCAGTCACCTTCATTATTAACTAGGAAGAATCCTGATTTTCTGTATTTTTTATAACCAAAATGTCAATTAGGACTAAGTAATGAAGTGATACTCTGTGTTACACACATAACAGCTGATAACATCTGTGATTTATTTTTTTCTTACTAAGGATCAAATCTTGTACGGGTACGAGAGGCATAGAGAGCTAAGATAACTTTGACTTCCTTAGTTGGCCAGGCATTGGGTGGTAACGAAAAGCCAACCAGTCTCTGCTGTGTAGCTTTCTTCTTACATCAAACCCTCTTTATTCTCTTGGTTGACACAATGTTCTCTTAAGTGTTCCTTGGATAAAGTTTATATTGTTTCCTTAGCTGGTTATGTACTGCATGTGGCTCTCACTGCAGCTGTTCAACTGCCCATACGTTGTCCCTCTTCCTGTGATTGAATCATCAGTTTTGCTCATGTTGACTCAATTGTGAGGCCAAGCAGAACCTAAGCAAAAGCAGAAAACTGCTAATAGAGCTCAAGTACAGCAGTTACTCCTGTAACTCTCACAGGAGTTTCTAAACCAATCTTCCCTAAATACATCAAAAATCAAGCTAAAGTAGCTTAAGGACTCTACAAGGCCTGGCAGATGGTAAAGCCAGATACGAGTAACCACTCCTTTAAACTGGAAGACCTATAATTAGTACAAAAGCACTGTTATTAACAGTTTGTAGCTTTTCTTACCTTGACTTGCACCGGAAAAATCAATTTTACTGTTCTGTTGCATACAATATGGCTGTTTCTCTTTCATTTTTGCCTGTACACTGAAGGAAAAAAGCAGTGGGTCCCCTGCTAACAAGGTGGGCAGGTGTCACACTGGAGCCATAAATATTTGGAATAAAATGTGTAATTATCTAAATACTTTTAGAGAAACGAGTTGGATCCCTTGGCAAAGTGAACGAGGACAGCTGTACTGAGGAAACTAAGGAACAATGATAGATGCAAGAATTCAGTGTTTAAAAAAAAAAAAATAGTTTGAGTCTTTTAAATTTTACAGAAAAACAAAAAAAAAACAAAACCCCACAACTGTTAGTGAGCAGTGTCCAATCCTGTGGGCTGTTGTTTTTTTTTTTTCTAAATCGCATGGTCTTTTCTTTCCCTATAGTGCATATACGTGTTTATAATGCTGCTTTTTGCCCTGTAAAACTGATTTTTAGTTCACTTAGATTTATTTTTAAATGGTAATGCATTTTTTTTTAATTAAATAAATTTAAATTAATTAAATATAAACTTGGGCAAACTGTGAACTTGTAGCAAGTTGCCTATCACTGACAGCAACAAGAATATCAGCAGAAATATGGCTTAGGCTCTGTTTATTACTAATGGAGATTATTAAATTAATATATATCTATCTTGAAATTGATTTCTGTTACATTTGTAGAGTTTTCCATAAATTCAGATGTTAGAAGTTAAATGCTTGGATGAATTTATTTGTTGTTTTATGTTAAAGAATCCACTTGTTTTTAAACTTACTGACAGAACATATCTACAAATTGAACTTCTAGCTTAAATTTTTTTCTGTTATGTGAGCTATGAATTGATTTGAAGGCATTGCTGTAAGCTGATTTCCAAGCAAGAATCATCTTGTATTAAGAGCAAATAAAAGATAACTTCTGAATAGGCTGAGATTGTGGAAGATCACTTCATTGTTGTGACAAATACCTTTCTTACTTTGTTTTATTCTTTGTGGTGAATGTGGGATGTCTTTTTACTGTAGGTTGATGTGTCGGAAGCAGAAACTAGATTTATCTTGTGACTGAGCTAATCTGGGTTTCCTGCTGTTCTGAAGTAGACTTTTGGCAAGGAAAAGCTTTGTTATAAAAGCAAATGCAGCTGCATCTTGTTCTTGCATAAGGGTAGGTTGAAGAGGTTATAGCAGAGCTTAAGGCAGTAGTGGCCCATTGAATTGGTGCTTCACTCTACAGTTAATGATCCTGCTCCTTCACAAAGCATCTTGAATGAGGAAAACTTCCTTGAATCCTTGGGCTACATATGCAGTAACCTAAACGTTTCAGGGCTGTTCTCATGGCCTGAAGCCAATAGGCTTGGCAGTTATCCATACCACTAAGTGCTTTTGCTCCTATGTAGAGCAGCTGCTATCTAGTTTGAATGAAGTTTGACCTGTGCTGACTCATGAGCTTCTGTCTCATTTGCCTGGGCCAAAGCGGGCAATGCAAGAGGCTTGTAGACAGTTGATGCTAATGAATGAAGGTTATTGAGTGCTCAGACCAGTGCCCTGGTCCTGCTTACTTCACTAGTACAGGTGAAGCCTTGGTCCAGTGTAAGGAATGCCTAACCAGAGTAATAATGACTGTAGGAACTACCTGTCTTAGAAGTGATAGGTCTTTGTTTTCATGCATGATGCTGTGGATATTGCTGGGCATTTATTTTTAGTTTTTTACTTCTTGATACAGCTGTGGCCAGCAATATGCAAATATAAAATACGTTGCCATTTTTTTCTTTGCTCTGATAACGATGTGGGGAACTGTTTGGTCAGTGTGTGTATGTGTGTTGTGCACATCCATGCATTCAAACACTACACTCTGTTGCTTTATCACTGTGTGAATAGCAGTTTAAAATTGGAAACACTGACATTTATTTTGAATGAAGATTTCGATTTTGTTACAACAAAGGTTCCTGGACCTTCCTGGCTTATAACTCATGGAAAAAAAAAATAGCCCAAGTCCTCTGAACAAAGTTCTGTTAGTCAGAATCAGAGCTTTCCATGAGAATTTGTTGTGGTTATTCTATTCTTTTTTTTTTTTTTTTTTTTTTTTTTTTAAACCATAGTAAGTAGTAATATTGTTCAAAACAAGAGTTGTCTTTTAAAGATTGAGGAAGTGATTGTAGTTGTCTAAAAACATGTTGTCCTGTAGAAGACTTGAATGTTTGTAGGTCTGCAGTTAATAGCTATGTGGATACTTGTGTGCATCTTAAATTTGAGGTAGTTTCTTCCTCTGTAGAAGCTGTTTTGGCCCTCTTGAATGCCTCATTCTAGGTATAAAATAAGAAGCATACATTTGGGCAATTAAAATTGGGGGTTTGACGTATCATATCTTCATGTTTGCTTTGCAATTTAGTACTTTTTTTGAATGTTTGTATCATAGGCTGCTTTTGTGTTGTATTTTTTCCCAGTGGTGGTAAGTGGACAGAGTTACTGTAGTAAGGTGTTCATATGACTAGTTATGCAGTGCTGAAATTAACTTTCTCTTCTGCAGGTATGTTTTGGCTTATGAATCCAATATAAATATCTTTTTTCTTTTCCCATTTGGTAGTGGATACCCTATTCTCAAGAAAACTGAATGGAAAATACAGACTTGAACGCCTTGTTCCAACTGCAGTCTATCAACATATGAAGATGCACAAACGAATTTTAGGACATTTATCTTCTGTATATTGTGTAACTTTTGATCGGACTGGAAGGCGAATATTTACTGTGAGTACAAATATTTTTTGTCTAATTTTTTAGAGTATAGATGGCATAGTTTCCCAAACCTGAGTGTACTGACATCTATTAGTACCAGGTGAATGCTTTGCTGCTGTTATTTTCTGATGCATTTTCATAACGGTGCTGGTTTACATGTTAAGATAATTCAGCATATTGAATGTGCTGGTGACTGCTGATCCATGCAGTTCAGTCAGGAAACTGCAGTTATTTTCCATGAAATTACCTTGTGCAGATTCTTTCTTCTCCTGGACTTCTCTAGGAAAGGCATAGAGAAAAGATCAGACTGCTGTCAGGGAATTTTAGAAGTCAGGGTAGATAGTCATTTTGTAGTTAGATTATTTTAGCCTTTTTCTGTAATTTTTATTACATTTTAAATGACTATTAACAGTCTGGTGGTAAACTTATACAGCATGTTGATGATAGAATGTTGAAAATTAGCAGTGTTTTTTAACAATGTTGGTTTATGATGAATTGTGATCTGTAAGATCCCAGGAACTGATTTTTGTAGCAATGTTCTCAGTATTCATAGCTAATTTCATTCTGTTGCTTTGGGTTGGTTTATTTTTGCTCTTTTTTGTTCTTTACTCTGAGGGCGTCTGAAATCAGTACTGAAAATGCAAGTTTTCTAAAGAGTGGGAATTAGGAAAAACAATACACGTCAGTGTAATTTGGATTCCTTAGTAAGGAGTCAACTTCAGTAAAGCCAAGGATCATATAATTGCACACCTTGTGTCAATTTGGGATACTCTGGCTGCATTTATTTCTTTCTCACAATTACTGGATTCTTGTGGTGTGTTTGTGGATTTGGGAGCTTGTTTGCACTCTTTGGAATGCCATGACAGATAACTTGGGCACTGCAGGTGGAAGTGCAGTTTGGTTTGACACTGTTGCAGTTAGAACTTCTCACATGCTTTTAACGTGGTTGTGAATACAATTTGCCCTTCTGTCCGCATACAATTTATTTAATTCATTGTGTGGAAGAATGTGTGGCTGCAGGGACTGTGGTGCTTAAAGAAGTACGAGCAGAGTTCTATTTGTTTACTTGTTGGTAGTAGAGATTTTCTTAATATTTCTTTAGCTTCCATTGACAAGCTAAGTCCCCCAACAGTCATAGGCATTAAATTCTTACCATCTCCTCTAGTTTGTGCATGATTCACCTGTCAGAAAAAGTGTTGCTCTGATGTTGTGGGCTTATTTTATATGTGACAAGGCAGAATGGGTTAGGGATTTTGTGTGCAAGCATAAAAATCCCCAGTGTTCATCCTGTTCAGCTCTACGTAGAAACTTCTGTTTGTGCTTCGTTGAAGTGCCTGAAACTCCCTGTTAAGGTCTTATGATTCATCATTTTCTTAAATCCCATGTTCCTTAAATCTGTTGTCTTTGAGGGACTTAATAAAGTTCCCTTGAGTGTATCTGTAATGAAGAGTAGAGTTGCACATTCCCTTGTGTTTTGCAATGTGATTTAAAGTGGCTAGAGAGACATTTCTCATGACTATAACAACAATTTATTTCTGAAAGAAAAGTAGAAGAACCCTGGAATAAAATGAGGGGAGCAGTTGTGCTTCTGTAACCCCTGAGCTCTGCTGGCAATCCTTTGCTGAGAGGTAAAATGTCCGAGGTATAATTGCTTTAAAAAGGTCTTGGGTTCAGATCAGAATTATTTCAATCCAGTGTTAAATAAAGTGTCCATAGAAAATAATTGTAGCTGATGGGTTTTCCTCTGTGGGGCTGGAGCAGAACCTTTTACCTCAGTGTTATTGGATAAATCCAGTGTTCTTTGTGTACATGTTTAAGTGTCTGTTGACAAATGGATACCGAAGTGTTCTTTTCTATATTGCAGTAAAATCCAAGTTCTAGTTGCTGTGGTGATGTAATTTGTTGATAAAGTTGGCATATATCATTGAATTTATAAACAAAAGGAAGACAGATTTCATTCTAGACGTCTGTTACCAGGATATAAATTTGTGTGTATCAACAGGGAGTTGTTCTTGCTCTGATTTTACTCTATAACCTCCAACATTTAGTGCAACGTTAGCTAGGTAAGAGATTGTTTTAGATTTATGATTGGTTGTAGAAGCTGCATTTTCCTTTCCTCTGAAGGACTGAAAGCCTCCATGTTTAAGTTCTGTTTATGTGCTGCTTCAAATTAAAAGAAAGGAAAAGTGATCTCAGCACATTTTTGAGTCATACTGTTCTGAGAGATGTTATCTTTGTTAGGAAGAAGATGCTCTTGGTTTACCTAACAACAGTGAAAATAGGACATAAAGCAGTTTTCCTGCTAGCTAGTAGGTCATGCAATGACTGGTCCTATTTACCTCATGTTAAAGATTTCACAAGAGTTTTCTAAAGATCAGCCTCTAAAATGGTTGTGGTTTTTTTTTCTGAATATATGAAAATATTCCTAGTATACAAACTTGGTGTTTTCTGTTTTCAAATTAACTGCAATGAATACAACTTTACTTGCAAAGACACTCCTGAAGGAACTGTCAGCCTTCAGTGAAGGAAACCATACTATTTTTGAGACTGTTTTGGATCTCTTGGAACCACGTGCTAGCAGTAGGAACAGGCACTGCCTTCTCTGGTTCTTGTACTGCTTGATCCTTCCAAGTCAGAAAGTTGCCAACGTTATTTCCCCCATCTTTATCTTCCCGTCTTCTCTGAGATCCTCTTTCTAGGGAATAATAATAAGCAGGGGAGAGTAATAACCTGTGGTTGGAAAGAGACCGATCTGTATGGTTTTTGGCAGTTTCACTGCAGCCCACAAGTCTCTGTAATGGTAGGAAAGTAAACCAGTTTTACTCCATACCTTGGTAATGCTGTCATCAGTTCTCTGTAGGGGCTGAGCCTGTTCTAGGATTTGTTTTTGACAAATGCTTTTAATAGGCACATAATTTGTAGTAGTTGCAGACATAACCTTGGAAACAGAAGCTGTGGTGTAAGCTGATGCCCTTGCTGGTAGAACTGGAACAATATTTTAAGAGTTGTGAATTATCCTATTCAATTCAGACAGAATCTCATGGATTTATTTGAGCTCTAATATTACTATCTTGCCAAGATGCTACAGAATTTATAACTTACCTTAGTCATTTTTCTTGCTGAGACTTGCTAACAGTTTAATTTTCCTCTACAGGGGAGAGGTACAGCACATGCCTCTATAGCTGTCCTGGAGCCAGCTGGTAGGAAGCAGTCTGATTTTATGCTGATCTGCTTTCCTCAGTTTGCTATTAAATAGACCTTTGAGGTTTCTCCAGGTGGCATTAGGTCCTAAAGCCAGCATTCTTTCTCCTTTTTTTTTTTTTTTTTTCAGCCCTTGTTTCTGACTCTTTTACGTCTCTCTTTATCTATGCACAGATTGCTCTCCATCAATTACATTCTGCAAGCAGCTTTTTAGGGGTCTTGTAATGCAAGGTTTAGTTTATTGGGTTGTCTTTTATTTGTTTACTTATTTTCCTTGAACAATCTGTTCATCCAGTGGAATGGCTGCAAGCTGTAAGTGAATAGCTTATTCATAATGTTGATCCTTACGATGTGAGAACTGCAGAAGCATGTTTTATGTGATATGTACAGTGCTGTAGAGAGTGTTACTTATGCAGCTCCAAGAAAAACAGGACTGGTGGTTTGAGACTTCTACACTGTGATGCAAGTAATTAATGTTAATGGATTGGCTCTGTTCTCAAGCATTTATTGCTTTGCGTAAGAGATTAATCCACTTGCAAGTGTTTTCCATCCCCAGTCTCCTGGAGTGTTTGGAGGTTTTGAGTTCCTTTGGAAGTTTTGGGATCCCTATTCTCTTCTTGCTTCGAGTCTCTGTTTTGTGGGTGAAAGTATTGTTTATCATATCTATCACATGAATTTCACTTACTCCTTTTTATCTCCTCTATGTTTAGGTTGGGTTTTTTTTTTGGTTGTAAGTATACTTCTAAGACAAATATGCAAGCCTTTTCATGCTCAAAATCTTACAGTGTAATCAGTGTAGAACAGATTGACCTCATAATGCTTTTCAGATCATTGTTGCATTAAGTAGATGATGTTATTGGCCAAATTTTAGTTAAACATTCTCAGGCCCAGGGAGCTGTCAGAAAAACCCTCTTGTAATAAAAATCTGAAGCAAAAGTATATTTCACTTTCTGTTAAGGGCTCTTGTCATTTACAAAACTTGTAGAATGTCAGTACTTGAAAAGAACAATATAAACTTCTGAAGAATGCTTGGGACTTGAAGATATTGGTGCAGTGATGACTCTTACTTTGGGAACATGAGAATTTTTAGTTAAATGATTGGATTCGATGTAGAGTTTGAAACCTTAGTTGAGTAATATGGGTGCTTTATAGCCTGCTTGTATGTTCATTTTAAGGAAGCAAAGGGACTAAAACAATCTGTTTAAAACTCACGGCTTAGAGGAAAAAATGCTGCCTTTTTTTCTTTTAACTCTTATTTGTAAGTTCTAAACAGCAAGTTTAGAGCCTGTTAAATTGTGCATTGGGGTAAGTCTGAAAATATGAACTACTGAGCGTATTTCCCAGTTATTTTTCTACTCTTTCATTTCGCAGTAACTTAATGTGAATAAATCGGGTGATAAGTAAAACTAGCCTGAATAAATATATTCAATACGAGTGAGATTTGGAGCTTTTTCAAAAGCATTAAATGCTCACAACTACGTTTAAAGTCGTTTAAACAGCTGCAATGTATTTAAGAGATCCTTGGATCTTCTTTCTTCTTGTAGAAGTTCTTAACTGGGGAGTCTCTGATTCTACCTGTAGACTCAAAAATTTTCCTGAAAGCGGTGTACTTTCTTTCCAAGCAGATATTTGAGATGAATTCAATACTGCAATAATGGTAGATCAAATGTGTAGTAGGTTCATTCATTGGATCTTACCTCAGTGGGTCTGAATCATAAGAAAGGAAAAGTGATATGGAAGAAAGTGATTGTTTCAAGGGTTTGATATAGAGGAAGAGAGAAAATTAACAAAATTTAAACTATTCAGCACTTGGCTTTCAAGGCTGTGCAATCTTAACATGATGAAGCAAAAACCAAAAACTGCAGATATTTTTTACAATTTGTGAGGTAAAATTTGAAGAAGTTGAGATAATTCAGAAGGAGTTCTGAGATTCATGACAAATAATTGGAAAAATATATACTTTTGCTACTCCGTTGTGGGTAAAATATCCATTGAGGTCCTATTTCAGGTAAAACTCAGAGAAGTTACAGAAGTTATATCCTGCTTGCTGCTAGAATGCATGGTTATTATTATTATTATTTTAATTTTAATGGTAATGCACTAATGGTGATACTGGAAAAACTGAAAAATAAATGCTCAAAAAAACTGTTGTCTCTGTTCAAAATTTTGGAAAATGCTACCTGCTAGTAAAGTGTTCTAACATGCCTTAGGTGTGGAGTGTAAAGGTAAAGGAAAGGTTGGGTCATTGTGCAGATTTATCAATGGAGAGTGTTAGTTTTATTTTTGTTGTTGTTCTTTTCAGTGGTTCCTGTTATAGCTGCTATAGGTAAGGAGGAGAAAAGTTCAGGCTAAAATAAAGTACAAACTAACAGAGTAACTTCCTTTTAGAACAGTTTACTTAGGGTTTTGGCAATTTCAAGCTTAGGAATATTGGTGTTTCCGAAGCTTGGTTTTCTGAGGTAATTTCTTCTGAATTACAGAGCTTCAAGAAGGAATTGATACAAGTTATAGTGTACACAATATGCACGCAGCCGGAGGGGAATGGAGACGTTTGTCCTCAGACTTTGTGTCTGCTTCAGTCCTTTGTTCTGCATGGTTGTCTAAGCCAACTTTTTTCTCATGTAAAACCTGATGAGACATACCCGACAGTTGGGAGGCGGGGATTAATGTGATACTAATGTTTGCTTTGCACTGGGTTTTTATTGCATGTTCTTTGTTCCTAGAGTCCTGTTCAGCTTCCCTTGTTGTGTTTTTAGAACAGCTGTTTTGGAAAGCACCATCTCATCGCATAAGATTTCCTGTGAACTAAGATGCAGAGCAAAATTTTTAGATTAAGGGAATAGTTATCAGAATCATTTTTCTGCTCAAAAAATCTAATGCTCAATATCTTGAGTTTTGTTTATTTGAACTGTATGATAGAAAGAGCTAATGATTTCTACCTTATTTCTAGGGATCAGATGATTGCCTTGTAAAAATCTGGGCGACAGATGATGGCAGGTTGTTGGCTACCCTGAGAGGGCATGCAGCTGAAATATCTGATATGGCGGTGAACTACGAGAACACCATGATAGCTGCTGGAAGCTGTGATAAAATGATCCGAGTTTGGTGCCTTCGAACTTGTGCACCCTTAGCAGTTCTGCAGGGCCACAGTGCATCTATAACGTCATTGCAGGTAGGTTTTTGCTTTGCAAAGTCACCTAAGTAGCAATATGCATTCTTTGACTGAAAGAGAAACCACTTGAGAACATTCCATATAATAATAATGTCTATGGAGCAACTAAGCTGTGAAGGAAGAAGAAATTTTCATGGTACTTGTTGCAAAAATGACACATTTATTGTCACAGTATCTGATCCTTGCAAAATGCCAGGCATAATCTATTTGTGGGAGGGAAAAATAAAAAAAAAAACTTCTTAAAAAAAATAATAATAATTGCATGGTGCATGTGGACAGTTCTGTTATGAAATATGATTGCTTTGCAGACTGTGATTTTGAGTACCAGTATATTGAGTAAAAACTGCAGTCAGTGCTGAACAGTTTGCTTTGCTTCCTGTCTGGAGTTGCTTGCTATTGTACAGTTTGGGTTGTGGGGAAGGAGAAGCTGCAGTGCTTTTCAAGCAAGCCAGAAAGGTTGTTCTGAAGGGAGAAAGTTATTCTGAGAAGCACTGTGTTGTTGGAGTATTGACCTCTTCTTTTTTTCCCCCCTGTTCCCCTTCCCAGTTCTCTCCACTATGCAGTGGCTCAAAGAGATACTTATCTTCAACCGGGGCAGATGGAACAATATGCTTTTGGCTGTGGGATGCTGGCACCCTTAAAATAAAGTTAGTTGTTATTTTATTTATTTCTATTTCTTTGTTTGTGATTAAGAATGATATACAAATGTTGTAGAAAGGTCTTGTCACTGGTTGTTTCACTGAATGTGCAATAGTTGCATTGATCCATTTCTGGGGGTTTCTATCGCTTGCTTTCTTTTAAGGACTAAGTTAAAAACATAAGTAACCACTGAGAGTTTTTGTATGGTTAAATCAATATACAGCCACTTTTTCTTGTGGCTCTGTTAATAAAGTGACTTGATGTCAAAGTTGGCTTTTTTGTTCTATGAAAAATGTATGAAAGTTTTGACAAAATGTGCTTCAAGATGATTGCAATTTAGACTTGAGAATCTAAGGCTTAGTGGGAGGAGGTAATGTCCTAGCAAGAAATTAGGATGGAATTAATTTTGGTTTGTTTGTCTGTCATTTTCTTCTCTCTAAAACCTGTTTTTAGTTGCTCTTTATGTAGCATGGTAAGGAGGGTGTCACTCATGGACTGCATATTGGTGGGTGAAGTTGACTCTGAAGTTTCTGCCTTCAAAGGATAAGATATGAAAAGTCTTGCCAGAGCCCTCAATTCGTTTTTTATTATGAGTATTAAAAACTTCAGTGGCTTTCAGATGCTTTTTCTTCTTCTTAATTGCAAAACATCTGGAGCGTAAAATTGGAAATAGTTAATAATCACTGATAATTCAGTTTTGAGCAAGGATCTCTTCCCTTTTCCTAATTAGAGAGTAGTAGAATTAATGAGACTTAAATGGCTTAGGCTATATAAGCTGGGAGATGAATATTTGGGTGAATCATGAAGTTAGATGAAATTTGTCTCGAGGTTAAAAAATAAAATAAGAATGAGCTGGTTTCAGTTACGGTAAGGATTCTCAATTCCTATCCATGGTGTTACGTGGATGTAGAATACAAATTTTAACGCTCAGAAAATATTAAAAGAATTAAGTTGTTTTTGTTTATTTATTTAAATAATGCTTTCATATGTAAATAGCCACAGAAAATCTGAAACTTTTTAGTTTTTAAAAAAAAAAGTTCAGTTCAGTTGCATGTTGCAGAATTGAAAGGAGTTAGTCTCATAACCCAAGTCATGCAGCAATTCATGTTGCTCAACAGGAGAGTGCAGAGTACCTTTGTGAGTGGAACTTGTACTGTCCTTAACAACTGTTCTGGTATTTTCTGTGTTGAGTTTGAGAAGATAGAGGGACCCTTTAAACTATGAGGTCTACTCTGAAAGTAATGCTTCCTATCTTATTATGTTGGCCCATGATGTCAGAGGTGGATGTCGGTGATATGGCAGTAGAGGTTGAACCTTTCTGTGAGTATTCCATTACATTTTGTTGTCATGTGACAAATAACAGCCAAGGGGCAGTCTAACGAAATGGTTTCTGAAATGGAAGCCCATATGAAGCAGAGTTCATATGTCATTAAGTTCATCTGTGCAGAAAAAATGGCACCCATTGACATTCATCAACATTTGCTGAATGTTTATGGAGACTGAACAGTGGATGTGAGCACAGTGGGGTGGTGGGTGGTGTGTTTCAATGGTGACAATTGCAACATGGAAGACACACAGTTCTGAATGGTCATGCACAGCTATGACACCACTCAGTGAAGAGCATCTCAATCAGCTCATCCATGCTAAATGGTGGATTTTGAACAGGGAACTTTGGAGATGAATATTATCTTGAATGCATGGAAATAATGGTGGCAACATTGGAGTATCACAAAGCGTGCGCTAGATGGATCCATTCAGTGCACCATACTCAAATTTGTTAGGATCTGTTGAACCAATACAAGGCTGAAGGTGACAGTTTCTTGGATTGCTTCATTAACAGTGACAAGATGTGGTGTTACCACTATGAAGCTGAAGTTAAAATGTGTAATCCGTGGAGTGGGGACATGTGAATTCAGCACTGAAGATGTAGCCCTCAATAGGTAAAGTGATGTGTCCTGTCTTTTGGGATAGGAAAGAGGTGACCCACCAGGATTTTCTGGAATCTGGACAAACCATCAATTCTGACTGCTACATCGCAACAGTGATTGTGCTGAAGGTTTGAACTTCAAGCATCAAGCCAAAGACAACAACTTTTCTTTTGGAACATGATAACACTGAGTCCCATACCAGTTTGAGTTCTGTAGAGCACATTGCCAGTCTTCTTGGAGACTGTCCTACCACTCACATGTTATAGTTTGGATTTGATGCCTCCAGACTTCTGTCTGCCTGGGCCAAGAAGGGACAGACTACGTGAGCAACATTTAGCTAGCAATGATACCATCATTGCCACTGTTTCACAGTGGGTAACTTTTGCTGTTGCAGGTTTTTGCAAGTGTAGCATGCAAGCTCTTGTTCATCACTGGCAAAAATGTGCAACTAATGGTGCTGTGTTGATTTTTTTAAAATTATTTTTATTTATTTATTTATTTTTGTAGGTGAGAATGTGTTCTATCAAGTAGGGTAATTTTACCATTTGTATCTGTTGGTGGTTTCCTTAGAGATAAATAGGAGGCATTACTTTTGGAGCAACCTACATATGTCTTTTCAGTCTGGAAGATGAGTGCCTAAAATGAGTGAGACCTGTACGTTTGGCAGCGTCCTGAAGAGGTTATATAGTAATTGGCTGTTGACTCATCATGTGCTAGAGAGTATCAACTGAAACTAGCTAATCTACAGGCTGAAGGAGGTGGCTTTTATCATGCAGCTAAGTTATGGAACTCTTTGTCATAGATTATTATACCTGTTGAAAGCTTAAATGAAGAAACTGAAAGTTATCACTGTATATTTTTTCTGTTCTTACACACTCAGTTTTGGCTACAGCTGGAGGTAGGATGCTATTCATAGGTATTTGCTCCAATTTAGCATAGCTGTTATGCATTTGAAGTACTTCATGCTTTTTCATGAAAGCTAAAGCATATACTAAATCTAAATAAGAAACGTTTGTGTCTTTTAGGACTGGAACATAGTTGTATGTTACGTAGCACACTGAAATAGTTGCACACTCAGAAAAGTCTCCATGTCTCTCTTCTTAATCTTGTTAGTTACAGGAGGTTCTATTTAGTTTTCTAAACTATAAACTTTTCTAGCTGTGATCATCGTAAATCATGTTAACGATACTGTGAAACTAGGAATCCAGTGTAGTTTTTCACCAGGAGACCTTGTGCATGGACACTCAGCCTCAATAATAAGTAAGGATTGTTGTAGTTTTAGATGAGGCAATTGGCCCTTTGAAAAGTTACCAAGCACTGGAACAAGCTTCCTAGAGGGGCTGTGGAGTCTCTTTCTCTGGAGATATTCAAAACTCACCTGGATGCTTTCCTGTGCGTCTTACTGTAGGGAACCTGCTTGAGCTGGAGGATCAGACTAGATGTCTGACCAGGGGTCACTTCTAACCTCTATGATTCTTTGATTGCTCTTCCTTACACCTTTAGATCTAGATCTATTTCCAGAACTGTGGAAACGTGGCATATTCCTTTCACATCCATTCAGTGATGTGCTGGGGGAAAATGAGTAGTAGCAGGAAAACAGTGTCAAAGGAAAGAGGAATTGTATTCTGAAGGCCCATTATGAAGTATTTTTGTGTGTGTTTGTTGTTGTTGGTTTGTATTTTTTTTTCTTATAGGCCTTATCCTGGTTCTTCTATTTTTTTTTTTTAATGTATTGCAAATGTTTATTTCTCTCACTCTTGTAAACATAAGGATTTTTGCAATCTATTTGCCAGTAGCTCTGTTGCTATGTTAATTGTATCTTTGAAATTAGAGGCATCCCATGTTGGTATCCCCTTGTTTGGGTAACTTCATTCATTGAGGCATGTTGAATGTTTTATTTACACATACAGCCTGAGCAGGAGATTTCTGGCAAAAGCTCTGTTTTCATAAACTGCAGGAAATACTTTACAGTAAATTTTTGTGCCATAGGATGAATGGCAGACCACAAAATTCTCAGTGTTGCTCAAAAGAGAATCATAGAATCATAGAATCACAAGGTTGGAAGTGACTTGAAAGATCATCTAGTCCAACCATCTTCTCATTACCATTGCTACCACAAACTAAACCATATCTCCTCGTAGCTCCTCATCCAGATGCCTCTTGAACACTGCCAGGAACGGTGACTCCACCACCTCCCTGGGCAGGCCATCCCAGTGCCTGACCACTCTCTGAGAGAAAAAGTTCTTCCTTAAGTCTAACCTAAACCTCCTCTGGGTACAACTTGTGGCCATTTCCCCGGGTCCTGTTCGTTGCCTGGGAGAAGAGGCCAAACCCCTCCTCATCACAACCTCCCTTCAGGAAGTTGTAGAGTGCAATGAGGTCTTGTCTGGAGAAGAGGAGGCTCAGGCTAAACAATTCCAGCTCCCTCAGCCTCTCCTCACAGGACTTGTACTCCAGACCCCTCACCAGTTTCGTTGCCCTTCTCTGGACGCACTCCAGGGCCTCAATGTCTTTCCTGTAGTGAGGGGCCCAAAACTGAACACAGTACTCGAGGTGAGGCCTCACCAGTGCTGAGTACAGGGGGATGATCACCTCCCTGCTGCTGCTGGCCACACTATTTCTAATGCAGGCCAGGATGCCGTTGGCCCTCTTGGCCGTCTGGGCAACACTGCTCATGTTAAGCTGAGCATCAACCAAGACCCCCAGGTCCCTTTCCTCTTCACAATCATCCAGCTACTCATCCCCAAGCCTATAACGCTGCATGGGGTTGTTGTGGCCAAAGTGCAGGATCTGACACTTGGCCTTGTTGAACCTCATCCGAATGATTGACTGATCATATTCTGTGACTGGTGTGGGTTCATGATGTTCACTTGCATGGAGCCACCTGTGT